ATGGAAACAACAAATGACTGGATGATAAAATTAGTGAAACAACATGAAAACAGAAAGAAAAATATTCAATAATAAAAGAAGGCAGTAAATACAAACAACATTTACATTTAGTAGATTCTGTAGTAAATCAAAACAGAAGCCAAGAACCAACTATTGCAGCAAAAGATATGAAAAAAGAAAGCCAAGGATAAAGCCCTTGAACAGATGAAACAACGCTGGCAAGACAAACCTCTGTATGGCCAATATCCAGAACGTGCAAATAAACCCAATGTTGATAAAGTTAATACTCATCGATGGTTTACGAGCATCTGGATTAAAATCTGAAACTGAAGGCTTTATTCTTGCAGCGCAAGACCAGAGTCTTTTCACTAGGAATTTTCAGGCAAATATCATACATAATAATGTGGATCCAAAATGCAGGTTCTGTGACAAATACCAAGAAACAATAGACCATCTAATCTCAGGATGTTCTATACTTGCCCCAAAAATGAATATAAAATCGTCACGATAGAGTGGGGCAATACTTACACTGGACAATGTGCAAACACTTTGGAAAATGTGTAAGCAAACACTGGTATGAACATCGGCCAGCGCCGGTTACAGAAATAGAAGATGTCACCATTCTATGGGATTATACCATCCACACAGACAGAAAAATTGAAGCAAATAGGCCGGACATTATTGTCAAAAAACCAGAAAGAAAAAACTTGCCTACTAATTGATATGGCTTGTCCAGCGGATTGTAACATAGCAACCAAGGAATTTGAAAAACTATCAAAATACAAAGACCTGGAAATTGAAATAGAAAAAATGTGGAAATTGAAAACAAGAATAATACCAGTGGTAATAGGTGCACTTGGAATTATAAAAAATGGAACAAAACAACACACTGAAAGAATCCCTGGAAACCCCAGCTTAAGAGACATACAGAAAATTGTCTTATTAAGTACAGCACACACACTAAGGAGAACTTTGTCTATGTAACGCTAGCAACTTCATCGGAGATAAAAAAAAAAAAAATTAACATGAAATGTGGCCATAACAACACACCACGACCTGCCTTAGGTCTTTCCGCAGACTTGGTAGGTAGTGTGTCCATAGCAGAAATAATAATAATAATAATAATAATAATAATGATGATGATAAACTATCAAAATAAAAGAATCTTGAAATAGAAATCTCAAAAATGTGCCACATGAGAATATCAATAATTCTAGTTGCAGTTGGAGCCCTCTGATTGATTGGAAAAAGTTCCAATACTTATTGAAAGATTTCAAAAACAAATGTACTCAGAAGTACAGATCACACATTATAAAGAGAGCTTTATCTATGTAAAATCTGTGTTAGGTTTTTTGTTTATTTTTTTTACAAAAGAAATAAGTATACACGAGAAACCTATTATTATCAGTTTTTATTATTATTATTATTATTATTATTGTTTTATTTCCTTTGAAATAATAATAATAATAATCAGATAGCTATTTATTTTATATTATTTTTACATTATCCTTCACTTTTTCAATTTTTAATTTAACGTTTTGGGATTTTATGTTAGCATACTTTGCCATATTTTAATTTGACAGAAATGTGTATCTTCAGGAATTTTTTCTTTCGAATTCAACCTATACAATTTTTTTTAAAGAAAGCTTCAGAACACCGCGTGCAAGAGTTTGCCTCAGTTCTCTTCCTCTTCCGTTGTACATTTTCTGCTTTGCAACTTGTTTTTGAATAACTGCGAAGTTTTCCTAACGTCGTCATTCATGTACCTAGTATGGTTTTATTCTTTTCTCAGAAAGCACATTCATCCAGGAACGCACAATCCACCTAACATGCACCGACACACCCCTCACCACATCTCTGCAAACGAACGTACACACATGAAAATAATTACAATGACAAAATTGTAAATATTAGACCGTTCATTAAAGCGATATATGTGTATACGGCTCGACAACAAAACTGATTTCTGTGTTTGTATAACCTTTAAGTATGAAAGGCATCACATAAATGGTGGCCTGATAAACGAGCATGCAACATTTCGTAAGGAACAAATAACGACATTGTTAAAGACATCAGTTCTTTACTTTTGGATAACCAACGACAAAGATGCAGAATACACACACACACACACACACACACACACACACACACACACACACACACACATATATATATATATATATATATATATATATATATATATATATTTAATCATGTTCACCCCCAAGCAAGGCAGTAAAGTCACTAAGACACAAACGGTTACTGGGTGTGGAAGAATTAGAAACAGAAACATTACTAATGAGCGAGAATAAAAGGAGTAATCAGGAGGACAGTAGATAGCGATTGACATTGCATTTAAATTTTTACCGATTAAAGTTGGCTGGAACGCATGGAGCCGGAAGGGAGTTCTACATGCAAGAAGTGCGAGAAAAGAAACTCTTAGCATAGAACTTACGGCTAGATCAAGCCAGCTCAACTGTAAATTGATGAGATCTAGACTCCAGTCTAGTATTGCGCTTAAATTCATAAAGTCTATGTACAATAACGAAGAGCTCACCCGAACAATTACCATGAAAGTATTTATAGAAAAGACATGGAGAGGTAACATTACAGCTGTGGGAAGGTGACTGAAGCCGAGCCGCCAGATCAGGACTGATAATATTGTAAATTCTTTTTTTGAGCTTATCAAGGATATCTAGATAAATAACAGGAACATCGGCCAATACTTGGCAGCAATATTCTAATTATTATTATTATTATTAAAAAAATTGTTAGCATTCATATTTTATAAATATCTGGAATTAACTTATTTTAATCATTTCAACCCAAGCAAGGCAATAAAACCACTAAGAGCTAAGCGCTTATTGAGTATTAGAGAATACGAGAAAATAAAATAAAATAAAAATACTATTAAGGAGAGAGAACAATAAAAGAACAGGAATTAATAATAATTAAACGTTGTTATTATAAGCCATACAGTCTGGCTCCATTTAAATTTACAAAATAAATCCATGGAAAGTTATTCATTAACATTAATTATTGACTTCTTAATAAACACCGTTTCCCTAATAAAATTATATAAATTTAGAAATTCTTGATAAAATATGAGGCATCTGCAATATTATTTATCCTGACCTGGCTCCTGGGTTTGTGTTACTTTCCCAATGCCGTAATGTAATTTTGATATAAATATTTTCATAGTAATTGTTCTGATGAGCTTCCCTGTACCTCGACTTTTCGAATTTAAGCGTAGTACTAGGTTGGCAGCTAGTTTTCATAATTTTACAGTTGTACTGGCTAGATGTAACCGTAAGTTCTATGCTAACAGTTTCTTCTCTTGCACTTCCCTCTTGTGGAACTCTCTTTCGGCTTCTTACTTTCCAGTCAACTTTACCTCGAAAAATTTAAATGCAGTATAAATCGTTATCTTTTCTCTTCTTAATTCCTGTTGTTCTCTCTTCTTTATAAAGTGTTTATTTTTCTCTTTTTCATTCACACCCTGTAACGAAATGCGTATTAGTGACTTTATTGCTTTGCTTAGGGTAAAGTTATTTAAAACTATTTTCCAACTGTAATACATTGTATTTTGTACAGCTCTTTGGCAATATTATCTTCATTATTCATTGCATATCGAGCACATAAGAAGATATTATATTTATTAAGTTTCGTTTGGGTTAGGGGCGCGATAGTGAAATATCTAGAGAGAATTCAACACTAAAAATGACGAGATTTAAAATAATCGCTATCCGGTATATGTCCTGTAAATGGTGGCTAAGAGTAATTTAGTTTGGCACAGGCCACACTAGTTGGGAACCAAGAGAGTGTGGAAAGAGTCACTGTAATAAATGCTCTCCAAGATCATTTTCCAAATAATTTTCTCACAACTGCTGCATATAGATACATAGATATGCAAACTTTGAGATATACAGGTATGTATATATATAATATATATATATATATATATATATATATATATATATATATATATATATATATATATATATAAATAATTAATTTTGGGGTTTAGGCTTATACCAATGAGTCTAGAAGAATCCTCAATAGAATGCAGAAAGCACTGGACGGCCGTTTCGTCCTATCTGGGACTCATCAGTAGTGCGCGGACCGTTTCGATACAATGCAAACGTCATAACAACTGTACCACGGGACTCGGTGACGAAGAAGACACAAACTAGACTCGATACAGCGTGCTACGTTCCGCAGCGATACTCATTCAAGTATTCAGATAATCTCGGAACAGTGCCCCAAGATCCACGACTGTTTTATATATAGGAACTGGCTATACATATATGACGTTGAATTCAACGTAAGAGGATCCAACAAGGTCATTTAGATTTTATGTTTGTGCCGTATGTGACACTTTAGTACAGTTAGTAACCTGCATACAAGTCCACATATATATATATATATATATATATATATATATATATATATATATATATATATATATGGATAATATTAAGAATTCACAAGCCATTACACCAAGAAGACATTCAAATTTTTCTTTCTTTCTCCATGAGATGACTCTCACGTAAAATTTTCATCCGATCTTCATGAGGCGGGAAGTTAGAAACTTCCGGGATCATCAGGAACTCAAAAACCAAGATGGACTCTATCCACCATGAATGAAAAGCAAAGCGCTTTCAGTACGATAATTATACAAATAAACAACACTGATCGAACGAAAAATTTCTACATATAAGAGAAGCAACTCAACCAAGACAAAACTGCCTCGAACTATTTATAAAAAGAAAAGAAACAGAAGTAATGATCAGAAATCGATAAGATTATTCAACAGGCAAGTAAACATTTCTCATAACAATTTTTATATTTTTTTTTACTTTCTCCTATTCTTTCTTTATCGTTTCCTCCTTCTTCAAATCTATATCTTTATTATATTAAAATAAGTATAACTTTACATTTCGTGTTTGTTTTCTATACGTCATCTGTGCTTGTATTGGTCCCTAACTGAGTAGAAAATGTCACTTTTTTAAATATTTTCGCAAGTTTTTTTTTTTATATTTGAATCTCGCTGAGAGATAAAATTCGTAACAATAGATAAATATAAATATAATGAGATAGATAGATACATATGAAAAGACTGAGATAATGAAGATTGATAGATGGATAGATATGAACAGACAGAGATAGATACATATAAACAGACTGAAATAGATAGATATGGACTGAGTTAGATAGGTAGATAGATAGATATGAACAGACTGAGATAGATAGATAGATGTGAACAGGCTGAGATAGATCGATAGATAGCTTGATAGGAAAATAGATATAAACAGACTGACATAGATAGATATGAACTTATTGAGATAGATAGATAGATAGATAGATAGATAGATAGATATAGATAGATAGATAGATATGAACAGACTGAAATAGATAGATAGATAGATAGATAGATAGATAGATAGATAGATAGATAGATAGAGATAGATATGGGCAGACTGAGATAGATAGATAGATAGATATGAACAGACTGAGATAGATAGATAGATAGATAGATAGATAGATAGATAGATAGATAGATGCGAACAGGCTGAGATGGATCGATAGATAGCTTGATATGAAAATAGATATAAACAGACTGAAATAGATAGATATGAACTTATTGAGATAGATACTAATAGACAGACAGATAATAGATATATAGATATGAAAAAAGTATAGATATATAGAACATGTAGAGAAAGAAGATAATTTTTAGCAAAAAATCCAAACAGAAAAATAAAACATAACAAAAAACAACAACAAAACAAAGAAAAAATAAAGAGACACAAATATAAAAATAAATAAACTAAAATGTAAAAAATCTTAGCACGCGAGTTAAGGGACAAAATGATATAATAAACGAAATCATTACAGAAGACAAAAACTCGTAATGATCGTTAAAAAACTAAGACTGAAAGAAAGTAACATTAGAAATAGAAAAAAATTTAATAAACTGCAATATTTCTGAAAGAACAACATGACTTAATTGAAGTAACGTAGACGCGTTTGAGATTGCAATTGAAAAAAACAATCCACTCTCCTCCCCATGAAAAATAATGACTCTAAGAAATACAAAAGTAACTAAAAACAGCGTAGAGGTTAGCTCCCTTGGCACTGATTCTTCGCTCGTAAGGAGAAACATGTACGACAGGTGTCACCTGAACATCATCAAGCGACTGTCAAAAAAATAAATAAATAAAACGCTATAACATTCTCTCTAATTGGAAAGTTAGAAAATGTCAAATTAGAAATAGAAAATATAGGCATCAGTATTGTCGATATGCAAAACTAGATAGTTATGTAAAACAGGCATACTGATAACTGCCAGAATTCTCGTGAAGATATCATAGTAACATACACATCATCATCTCACGACACGAAAGAAAAATTAGATACGTTTTATAACACTTCATAATGCAAAAAATCAATTCGCAAACAAAAGGAAAGAAACGAGGTAGTGATATAACAGACAAATGCAGACTTGGACCACGAAACAAAGTTCGTGACGTCATGGAATGGAATTTCCCAGTATTTTTTTATGTGTCGTGTTCTCCCATTGACGTAGGCGATCATGGCTCTCCACAACTTCCTGTCCGTTGTAGTTCTTAATGAACTTTGTCTTTCTGTTATTTTTTCTTAAGACCTGTCCTGTCACCCATTTACTCAACCTCACTAAATATGTTATGCGTTCTCTTTCTTTGCCCCCTTGCCCTCTATCTGTGCCGTGAGTATCAAATTTCCTAAGCCCTCCTTCCTCATTATGCGCCCTAGAAATTTCAACTGTCTCTTCCTGAATTTTCTTTTTTGTTTTCATTTTCTCTAAAACTTCGTCGTTGCTCAGATGTTCGGTTCTCGGTATCCTCATCATCCTTCAGTAGAACCACATTTCTGTTACTTCAAAGTCTCTACTTCATATCTGAGGAGATTGTCCAGCACTCACTGTCATATAGGAAGAAAGATATCTTGTAGCAGTCTAGTATTTTTTCTTCTTTCTAGTAATATTTTTCTTTTTTTTTTTAGTACTCTGCTTAGCTTTTGGAAGGCTATCCCAATGTCCCTTCAGATTTCAGTGCATCATTTTCCATTCTCTGTTAAAACACTTCCCAGATATTTAAATTTTTGTATTTGTTTGATTTTGGTATCTCCGATTTGCAATTCTCACTTTAGGCTCATCCTTTTGCTAACAACCACGCCTTCTTGTAGTTGATGTTTAAATGCCTAGTTGTGGGGATACAAAAGATATTCGGCAATCACTATGACTGACAATCAATAAAAGTTTCAGGAGTATAGTTGTATTCTTAAACTTATACAAGTGTTGACTCTGGGAGCAACGACCTTCTAGTTATATGCAAATTTTGACTAATTACGAAAATTAAAGAAGCCTAAAGAAACGCCTAAACAGTAGTACAATTGACTCTAGGATGACTTAGTTCACATGAAGATGTATGCTGATGTAGTTAAGAGCAAATATACGATTCTAACTGGAATATTGTAAAAGAAGCTTTAGTATCGTCAGAGAAAGAGAGATAATTGAATGACAGATGATAAAAAGAGACATAGTGAAGACAATAAATAGAAAGATTAAACAAAAAAACATTAGATAAAAAATTAGGCAGGTAAAAGATGTTTGACTCGACGAGAAATATACCAAGATAAAAGACATTATGGAATATACACAATAACAGTCTTGCATGAAATCATAAAAATAATAATAGAAGAGAAGACATGGATGACTAAAATCTAAAAAAAGAACGTTAATTATAAAGAGATACTTTAAAGATGGAATGAATATATCGAAGAACTATTCCATAACGACAGAGAATCTACCTTTGAGAAATGATATGACGATTGCGTAAACTCTTCCATATATGTAAGAACTGGAGAGTTTTTGTAGCAAACCCCTTTGTCAAAACCTTTGAGATATGTAAGAAAATTGCACAATTACAATCAAGTGCTACATTGGTTCTGTGAATAACAGTTAAAATATCAACAGTGAATCTGGAGGACCGAAACATATACAGTTTATTGCTCAGGAATTTGGTTCTGGTAAGGTAATCAGCTGCATCCTTGCTGCTGTGATGAGCTCAAAGAATATATGTGCAATATATCATGAGAATTCAAACCTATAATAACTATATTTAACAAAAAATATTCATAATAACTTTTAAAGGATGACAGGCTTTATTTTGCAAACAAATTACAACAGAAAGTTTTACTTATAACAAAATCCAAAGGATATAGATTCATAATGACCATAGAAGCATATGAATGATTATACCAATGTGAAATATACCTAAATGAATTATGATTTTATTATTCTACATGTTAACATAGGTTCGTCGATATTCAATAGCCCTTATCAGTTTTACGTCACTTAGTTTTATCTTTTCTTCTCTTTCGGTTTGAACATTACTTGAAGCAGTATTCCTAGAGATCGTGTTTGCTTGCAGGTTGTTTCTCTCTGTCTCTCTCTCTGTCTCTCTCTCTCTATATATATCTGTGTGTGTGTGTGCGCGCTCACGCGTGTGTGTATGTATGTATATATATATATATATATATATATATATATATATATATATATATATATATATATAAATATAAATATAAAAGGCAGGATGTGTGTGTGAGTGTAACGAATGCACGGCCGCAATTTTTGACAGATTTACACCAAAATTTACATGCACATGCTCCAAGTTAGCGGGAAGGCCAAGACCGACCTTGCATTTCCCAACTCCCATCGATAGTGGAAATAATCGATCTTTTCATGCTTCTACGGCAGTTTTCATGTAGTTTGCGGTCATTTTCTACTGGCCAGACTGACAGCCTATAACTGGCTGACACGAATAGGCAGGAAGATTCTATTGGCCAGCGTGAGAGCCAACAGAAATGTTAACTAGAATGCTAGCATGCAAAAAAATCGATAGCTGCATTCGTCACAAGTGGGAAAAATTTAAATCTGCATGGCACTTTACTCCAATTGGATCATTCGTTTGCTTTAAACTCAACGTTGATTCTGATTCTGCAGAACTGGGTTGGGTGTGAAAAAGTATTTGTTGTTAACATTTTTTTTCATTCGGTTTTTCCAGTTACGAGTCCTTTTTTAAAGCTGATCGTTTTGTGTTCATTTTGTTTAGTTCTTTTTTCGTAACAGATTTAATGTTTAGTATAGAGCTTCGAAAAAATTCGCAGTGTGAGATAGGCAAGAAGTAAGGCATGTAGCAACATTAGCACGGCAAAGGGCACTCCTTTAAAGGCAAGGAAGGGCAAAAATATTTTAAGTCAAGTGATAGCGATTGCTGTATGAGTTGTACGATTTTTAAATCAAGCACGGACAACGCCGTGCCATGCTGCTAGTGATGAAATATAATTTTAACCTGTGGTATATTTATAGGATAAAGTACTCAATATCAAGGATAGAGCGTATGTAAATATAAAAGTGAACATTGAAGTCAACACTCAGAGGAGACAGCCTGTTTCATGCTATGTGGCCTGACGATTGCGTCTAGCATAAAACAGTCTGTTGCCCCTGAGTGTTGCCTTCAATGTTTACCATATATATATATATATATAGATAGATAGATAGATACATATGTATGTGTGTGTGTGTGTGTGTGTGTACTGTTTCACATTACTATTCGTATTCATGACAAACACTTTAAAAGCATAAGAGATTGACGGTGTGGCCATAACAGTATATATATTCAAAAATTGAAATATAAATAAAATATAGTTGTAAAGACAATACCAAAAAGTGAAAAGGAAAAACTTTCTTAATTTATCTAGGCAATAGAGACAAAACGGGTAAGTAAAGAAAGGTTTTCGTTAATATATATATTAAAACGTTTTTATAGTGGATACTCTGCTTGAAACAGACGCCCTAAGTTCCATTTTCCCTGTTTGAGCAAGTAAGGCTCTATTTTCCTTGCTTGAGCAAGTAAGGCTCTATTTTCACTGTTTGAGCAAGCAAGGCTCTATTTTCCCTGTTTGAGGAAGCAAGGTTCTATTTTCCCTGTTTGTGCAAGCAAGGTCCTATTTTCCCTGTTTGTGCAAGCAAGGTTCTATTTTCCCTGTTTGTGAAAGCAAGTTTTTATTTTCCCTGTTTGAGCAATCAAGGTTCTATTTTCCCTGTTTGTGCAAGCAAGTTTTTATTTTCCCTGTTTGTGCAAGCAAGGTTCTATTTTCCCTGTTTGAGCAAGCAAGGTTCTATTTTCCCTGTTTGTGCAAGCAAGTTTTTATTTTCCCTGTTTGTGCAAGCAAGGTTCTATTTTCCCTGTTTGAGCAAGCAAGGTTCTATTTTCCCTGTTTGAGGAAGCAAAGTTCTATTTTCCCTGTTTGAGCAAGCAAGGTTCTATTTTCCCTGTTTGAGCAAGCAAGGTTCTATTTTCCCTGTTTCAGCAATCAAGGTTCTATTTTCCCTGTTTGTGCAAGCATGTTTTTATTTTCCCTGTTTGTGCAAGCAAAGTTCTATTTTCCCTGTTTGTGCAAGCAAGTTTTTATTTTCCCTGTTTGTGCAAGCAAGGTTCTATTTTCCCTGTTTGAGCAAGCAAGGTTCTATTTTCCCTGTTTGAGCAAGCAAGGTTCTATTTTCCCTGTTTGAGCAAGCAAGGTTCTATTTTCCCTGTTTCAGCAATCAAGGTTCTATTTTCCCTGTTTCAGCAATCAAGGTTCTATTTTCCCTGTTTGTGCAAGCAAGGTTCTATTTTCCCTGTTTGAGCAAGCAAGGTTTTATTTTCCCTGTTTGAGCAAGCAAGGTTCTATTTTCCCTGTTTCAGCAATCAAGGTTCTATTTTCCCTGTTTGTGCAAGCAAGTTTTTATTTTCCCTGTTTGTGCAAGCAAGGTTCTATTTTCCCTGTTTGAGCAAGCAAGGTTCTATTTTCCCTGTTTGAGCAAGCAAGATTCTATTTTCCCTGTTTGAGCAAGCAAGGTTCTATTTTCCCTGTTTGTGCAAGCAAGGTTCTATTTTCCCTGTTTGAGCAATCAAGGTTCTATTTTCCCTGTTTGTGCAAGCAAGGTTCTATTTTCCCTGTTTGAGCAAGCAAGGTTCTATTTTCCTGTTTGAGCAATCAAGGTTCTATTTTCCCCTGTTTGAGCAAGCAAGGTTCTATTTTCCCTGTTTCAGTAATCAAGGTTCTATTTTCCCTGTTTGAGCAATCAAGGTTCTATTTTCCCTGTTTGAGCAAGCAAGCTTCTATTTTCCTTGTTTGTGCAAGCAAGGTTCTATTTTCCCTGTTTGAGCAAGCAATGTTCTATTTTCCCTATTTCAGCAATCAAGGTTCTATTTTCCCTGTTTGAGCAAGCAAGGTTCTATTTTCCCTGTTTGTGCAAGCAACGTTCTATTTTCCGTTTGAGCAAGCAAGCTTCTATTTTCCATGTTTGTGCAAGCAAGGTTCTATTTTCCCTGTTTGAGCAAGCAAGATTCTATTTTCCCTGTTTGAGCAAGCAAGGTTCTATTTTCACTGTTTGTGCAAGCAAGGTTCTATTTTCCCTGTTTGAGCAATCAAGGTTCTATTT